GGGATGTGTCCGTGAGCGGTGATTTCCTCTTCTCACGAGCATGGTGTGCACTGGTGATGGTCGTGAGGCTGCTACACCGTCAAACTGATCAAGTCGGGTGGCCTCTGACTTGGCATTGTGTGAGCTCGCCTGGATCAAGACATGGGCTTTGGCCGGGGCCTGCTTGGCGGCGACTCGTCAACAGTCTTGGGGTTGTGTCTCCCTGGTCCAATGGGACTGATTGGGGATGCAGGTGTCGACGCATCCTACCATGAAGGTGCAGCCCAGACCCGGTGGCTGATGTCAGGCGATGGGTGGAAGGAGATGCATGCTAATCTTCCTACCGGGGCTGAAGTGTTGTGATGTGGATGGTTGGCAGGGTCTCGAGGCTTGGATGCCGGGGCAGCGGCCCCGGATGGTGGTCCCCATGTTTCGCTCTCCCGCGGGCTTCATGGCAGTGGTGGTGACTATGCCTCTTGGTCGTGGGGCGACGAGGGGTATAGCGTGGGTGGCTCGGTCATGTTCTCTGTTGCTGGCAGTGACGGCGTCCAGATCCGGATATGGAGGTATGTGCTTGCCGCAGTTGTCCTAGGGGCTTCTTGCTACCATGGGTGAGCTGCTGGGTGTAAGCCCCGCGCTTCGACACCGACGATGGCGATGCCCGTGGGCATCATTGAGTTCTCCTCTCCATGCCAGGGTTTCAGGGTGATGACCCTTGTCTATTTGGACTCGGCAACAGCGACGCTTTGCCTCGTTGTCACTTCTAAGTGTGTTGTCGTGAGTTTAGGCGTCCTAGGGCGTGGGGTGGCGTAGTCTTCGGTCCTTCATGTTTTTTTGTTTTGTTTTCGGCAACATAACCGTGTGCGTGTGTCCTGATCAGTTATCCCGGGATCTTCTTTGTAAGAGGGCTCAGGTGCGCAAGGAGGTCCTCAGATGTCCAAACTGCTTGAAACTTTACACGTACATCTCGCATTCGATCATCTTAATTTGATGCCAAATGTTATATTAACATTTCGAACTATTTTACATTTACTGTTCATCCCGATCGAAGATGACAGATAGACGAGCCCGGCATCGAATTGCCGATCGTGTCTAGAGCCTGTTTTGTGAATAAGTGAGGCGGAGTCGAGACTCGAGAGTGGTGGCGGCCGATGTGGACTCAGCTGGTGCGCCGTGACGCCACATCCCGCGAGGCTTTGCCGTTTGCTCCCGTGTCTGCGCGGCATTGGCCCGACTCCCCCGGCCGCTCGCGCGCCTTCTGTCAGCGCCTGTGTGACAGGAGAAAAAAAAAACCAAGGAAAGGCTGAGACAGCTTGGAAAATCAGCAGAGAAAGCATGTAGCTTGTAGCGGCAACAGGAACACTGCTGGACGTAGAAGAAATCATCATGTCTGTTACTGATTGCGAGCGTTTCTTTAAATTGCATTGCCAATGAACACTACGAGGCTGCATATTTGGAAGGCCCCAAAGGCCACAGAGCATGCAGTGGAGCTCAAAGCAGCACGGCGCGAGGTCAAACACTCACGCATCAACTTGAGAAACAATACAAGTGGACGACGTGTTATCTACGATGCGATGGCCGTTCCGGCCAGCGTGGAAGCTACATATGTGGCTGATAAGCAGGCACGACCCGCCCTATTTAACAACACATATCTGCAACCTTTTTGAGAGAGAGAGAGTAAACACATATCTGCAACGGATAAAAGCCCGCACGACCGCGATTATATTCATCCGCGGCAATTTGCCGGATTCTTAGGCCAAGAGTTGCACCGAAAGATCAGCACAACACTCCTCATCCTCGCACATGCATGTCTAATTTCCGCATCCATATGCAGCGGCTACAAGCCTACACCTGCATGCCCAGGTATGCACGGCACGGGCCACGATTTTATCCTTGAGCCTCACAGATCCCGCGGGAAAATTCCTCTCGCAGCTGTGTACAATTCCCAGACCACCTGGCTTCTCAGAAATTAACAAAATCCTCAGGATTCCTCGACGAATATATACGGCGTGACGGCATGCATGCACGCACATATACGGCATGATGGAATTCATCTATATCTATGATCAAACTAGCTAGTGCTCTTTCGTTGCAACATCCGCGTTGATTACTCGCCACTCGCCAGAAAAGTGAGAAGCAGAAATGAAATTAGTCTGACGAGGATCTCCCCCGGCCGGCGCCCAGATGTTGGAGATGAACAAGTTCTGTCTGTGTGCTACGTACTACTCCCTCCGTTCGGAATTACTTGTCGTGAAAATGAATGTATCTAGATGTATTTTAGTTCTAGATACATCCATTTCTGAGACAAGTAATTCCGAACGGAGGGAGTACGTACCTAGATACCCAGCTAGATAGTGAGCGCGTCGGATTCGATCGGTGCTGACGGAGCACGCATTCGATGCCTGCCTGGTAGTTGCATGTGCCCATCAGACGTGCATGCAGATATGGGAACCGCCGTCAGGATTTTCAGCGCAGATATCGATCATGTCTAATTTGATGGGACGAAATTCCAGCTTGGATTCGATATGTGAGATATGGCGCAAACACCTGCCACACGCATAAGGAAAATAATATGTATCTGCGGAATCCATTTACACGGTTCGATTCAAAGGGTACGTCGACTTCCCGCAAAAAAGGGGTAGGTCGACATCCTTTAATAATTTACACAAAATGTTGAGTATATTGTGTACGTGTATATGTATGTGTAGGGCCCACCTCTTGTTTCCTTGTATAGTTGAGGTTGTGGCCCACCTCTGTACTTATATATACGTGCCTGGTGCACCGATCAATACATTGAGATTGCACAGCCCATAACTTGTCCTTCTACATGGTATCTATCGCAGCAAGATCCTAACCCTAGCCGCCGCTGCCGCCGCCGCGCCTCCGCG